ATCTTCCAATGGTACCTTGGGCCAGACAGTAGCAATAGAGGTAGTAAGAAGTGATTGGATGTTGTATAAATTTTGAACGTAGAGTCTTTTCTTAGGAAAGTTACTTTGCTTCACTATTTTTGCTTCCTTTAGTAAAAAGTAGACATAATTTCTCTTCTACAGGCATCATGAAGATTAGCTGATGGCAAAACCATGAGATTCCATGTGTTGATGATGTGTTAGAAATTTTGTAAATATATTTTAAATGGCACACATTAATGTATTATCATGGGAGGCAGCACTGATATAAAAACAGCTTGTTGCCAATTTGTTGTCTCGTCAAGTAAGCCTCAAACAGTATATTTTGAACCTTTTTTTTTTTTTTTGGCATTTATTGTAGTATAAATGGTTATAATGATTTCAGGTGTGTTCTTCCTAGTTAACCAATATGCATTAACTTGAAACAATGAAATTGCGATTTTTCTAAGTCTGAAATGTTCAAACATCTGCCATTTCTTATAGTTCAACCTAATACAGTAAGAAAGGATTAACCAGGCAATAAGGAAAGAGGTTCAGGAGATCTGGGAGGTATTCCCAGAGGATATGCCCAGAGGCTGAATGGTCCTGGGGAAATCGTAAGCATCCCTGTGCTTATTTTCTTATTTTCACTGTGAGGCTAACGAAATAAAATAAAATGGCCAGTTAAAATTTGGCAGTGTTTTGGGGTGTTGTTGCTGTTGTTGTTGTTGTTTGAGATGGAGTCTTGCTCTGTCACCCAGGCTGGAATGCAGTGACATAATCTCAGCTCACTGCAACCTCTGCCTCCCAGGTTCAAGTGATTCTCATGCTTCAACCTCCCGAGTAGCTGGTATTACAGGCATGCACCACCACACCCAGCTAATTTTTGTATTTTTAGTAGCGATGGAGTTTTGTCATGTTGGCCCGGCTGGTCTTGAACTCCTGACCTCTGGTGATCCTCCCACTTCGTCCCCGCAAAGTGCTGAGATTACAGGCATGAGCCACCACACCCAGCCAAAGTTTGGCAGAGTGTTTAGTGACGTCCAAACACAAACACAATATGGTTTCAGATGAATATTCCTTATTTTTCCAATCCACATGTTAGACTTTGGGAAATAGCCCTTGGCCCCTTGATGGATCCTTCAATGTAAGTGCTATTGCAGCCTTGCAGAGCTACATTCTACTTGAAGGGCTAGTAAGTAAGATTGCAGTCTTGCAGAGCTACATTCTACTTGAAGGGCTAGCTCATCTTTATATAATGCCCCAGGCCATGCAGGCTGCTTGGCATCTTTGTGGAAATAGAGTAATTGTCCCAACAAGCTCGTTTAGCAATTACTCTTTGTCATTATTAAAATATTATTCTCTTATTGTGAAGAAAAGATACTAAAGCATGCTGTAGGTCAGTCATTTTCTGGTGACAGGGATTAGAGGACTAGAATCCATTCAATTTTTAAAACTTTACCTAAGAATAGGTAGAAAATATATGCTTGAAATAATCTTATTCTAGTTTATTGTTATTTTATTTTTTTCTAAGCCTTCTTTACAAATATATTTTCCTACTGTAATTCAGTTTAAATGGATGGTTTTTACGGCTTAGTAAAATTATTGACTGTTGATTTATAACTGATACAATCCTTTGTAGTATTCAACGCTCTCGTTGAAAAAATTCAGCCACAATGAATAAGGAGCGTTCCCAAGAACTCCCAGACAAAAAAAGAAAAACAAAAGAAAACATGAAACTACCCCCTGGATCAGAATGAAAATGTATTTGCTCCTAACATCAGATGTCTTTGGTTTAGAATATTTATTTCAACTTGAAATTTTCTTAATTTGTAGACATAATCTTGACATCAGCGAACACGAGATTTTGGACACTATTGCATTGCAAATGATGAGTCTTTAGTGCAGTCAATGTTTTTATCTTAAAGAAAATGATTTGGCCGGGCGCGGTGGCTCAAGCCTGTAATCCCAGCACTTTGGGAGGCCGAGACGGGCGGATCACGAGGTCAGGAGATCGAGACCATCCTGGCTAACACGGTGAAACCCCGTCTCTATTAAAAAATACAAAAAAACTAGCCGGGCGAGGTGTCGGCGCCTGTAGTCCCAGCTACTCGGGAGGCTGAGGCAGGAGAATGGCGGGAACCCGGGAGGCGGAGCTTGCAGTGAGCTGAGATCCGGCCACTGCACTCCAGCACGGGCGGCAGAGCGAGACTCCGTCTCAAAAAAAAAAAAAAAAGAAAATGATTTTATCTGTCATGATAATAATAAAGGTGACCTAGAAAAGTGTTCCTTAAATAATTCCAAGCTTATTATATTAATTAGCAAATATTAATTGATAGCAAACCTAATCATCTTTTCTTTTAATTTGTTCACTACTTCTGTTCCTTTGCAATCCTATTCTCACCTCATTTTATCTTTTATAAAAATACACAGAGGGTGTCTCTTTTTCACATTGGTAAACGTTTTCAATGTCACAAAGTTAATTTTCTCTATTTTTAATATAAGCAAATATTTTAATATATCCAGTATATTTAATAAGTTACATATTAAAATATCTACTATTTCTATCCCTGGGCCTAACGTAGGTACATACTCAATATATGATTGAATTTTAAAGAAAAAATATTTACTAAAATAAAGAATGAAATGCCAGAGTTCTTTTAAATTGTTGCTACAAATTATATCATATGGTTAAAAGGATAACTTTACTAGAAAAATGGGTCTAGAGATTTTTTTTTTTTTGGGGGGGATGGAATCTTTCACTGTCATCTAGGCTGGAGTGCAGTGGCGGGATCTCGGCTCACTGCAACCTCCACCTCTTGGGTTCAAGCAAGTCTCCTGCCTCAGCCTCCCAAGTAGCTGGGATTACACACGTAGCTATTTTTTGTATTTTTAGTAGAAACAGGATTTCACCATGTTGGCCAGGCTGGTATCAAACTCCTGACCTCGTGATCCACCTGCCTTGGCCTCTTGAAGTGCTGAGATTACAGGCGTGAGCCACCACACCCGGCCCATCTTGATTATTTTGTTCACAATGTTGGATGAGAGGGTTAAGTCATGACTAATTGCTATCATATGAATTTCTGACCAGTGTTGTAATACAGAAATTTGGTGTTTCTCTTCAGACCGTTGGATGTGGACAGGGAATGAAATGTAAAATATGCCTGTCTTCAGAAAGGAAACTTACATTGAAAGAAACAAGCAAAATAGTGTGCCTATACCTTTTATACCTCTCCCAGGTGCTTGAAGGAAGCCTGCCAACTGGTGGGCTTCTTTGGAGAGTGATCAGTCAAGGAAATGTCTCCTTTGATGGAAATCCCCCAATATCAGTCTCTGAAGATCTTTTCTGTGAAGTCTGCAGTTCCTCCAGTGAGGAATCCCATGTTCTCTGGCCTGGAAAGTGGTAGGAAGAGTGTAGAGCCGGTTGCCTGACTGCAAGAGAAGTAGCCTGGGAAAGCCTCACCCTTTTTGAACAGTGCCTCTCCCCTCCCCTTCAGTGCTTCTACTGTCATGCCACCTGGAGCATCTCTGGGCAGTCTTAATAGAAAGTAAATCTTCCATATTCTGAAAGAGTACGAGAAGCAGCGTTCACCCGGCTGCTCAGGGTTTAGGTGAGGATCTGACTGTCAGCCCATTTGCCTCTACCTTCACTTCCAAACTAGCAGTGCCTCCAATCCAGGATCCCCTAGAGTGCTACAATGTGACTTCTCTCGCTTCTCATGGGGCTCCTGTCTGCTGCTGCTTTGCCAATTCCCCTACTTCTCTTCTTTTCTCTCCTCTCCTCTCCTCTTCTTTTCTCTCGTTTCTTTTCTTTCTAGACAGGGACTCACTCTGTCACTCAGGCTGAAGTGCATTGGCATGATCTTGGCTCACTGCAACCTCCACCTCCTGGGTTCAAGCAATTCTCCTGCTTCAGCCTCCCGAGTAGCTGGGACTACAGGCGCCTGCCACCGCGTCCAGCTAATTTTTGTATTTTTAGTAGAGACAGGGTTTCTCCATGTTGGCCAGGCTGGTCTCGAGCTCCTGACCTCAAGTGATCTGCCCACGTCAACTTTCCGAAGTTCTGGGATTACAGGTGTGAGCCCCCGCACCAGACCCTCCACATGCTTTTTATCATCTACCAGCTTGCTGACATTACACACTAGTTGTTCTTTACCTTTCTCTTTGACTTTGTCAATTCGCGTCTTTTACAGTTTTTCTTTACTCATTTTCCAGTGGGCTTTGTGAGAAGGAAAGAATTAAATTCATGTGTTCAATCCAACCAAAAGTCCCCAAGTCCTTCTTAACTCTTACCTTCAGAAATACACTTCGCCCATTGTTTTCCCGTAAAAGAGGAAAGTATGTCAGTATAAACAGACTGCAGTTTAAAGCAAGGAAATTACATTTTTCCCTCTGAGAAGGATTTTGCGTCCCGAGGAATAATTCTGTAGAGGCAACAACAGTTATTGGAGTCACCACATGAGTTAAATGCTGGGGATACCAAAATTAGCAAGGTGTGATCTTTGCTTTCAAAAATCTTATTCTAGGCAGTGGCTCATGCCTGTAATCCCAGCATTTTGGGAGGCCAAGGCGGGAGGATCACTTGAGCCCAGGAGTTTGAGACCAGCCTGGGCAACATAGGGAGAAAAAGACGCAAGCTCCGTAAGCAGAGAGACCTGCGTGCACATTTTGACTGAGCCCCTTCCTTGTTGTGTAGCATTAGGTAACTGATTAAAATGCTCCTGTGTCTTTCCACAGCATAACACAAACAGCACAATAGGACCGTGAAAAGAACCAGACTCCCTCCTCTGTTACTGTGATGGAACAGGTTCAATTCTAGTTAACACTGAGTGTCATTCTGAGTGGTGAGAGACTGGGAAAGTCTGGGAGAATTTCCTCGGCGACTCTAGGATTAGGGATGGCCCGTGGCTGCATCTGACTTCCTGGAGCTACTTACGTCTGAACTCTGGTCTCATGAAAAATTCAAGGTTCATACATTTATAAAATTCTTTTTATTCTTGCAGTTTTTTCAAAGGGGGACATGGCAAAGATGTTCAGTTTCATCCTTGTTGTTACCGCTCTGATAATGGGCAGGGAAAGTTCGGTAAGCTTATTGTGAAAACTATTGTTATATTTATAATGCCTGCTTTTATCTGAATTTTCTTTCATTTTGCATTAAACCTATAGTGACTTGTCATTGAAAAAACTAAGGCGGAAAAGCAAAGAGGCTGGTGGAAACACTGGACCCGTAGTAAAGCAGCACTTCAAAGAGCTTTACATTTTTATTTTTTGGGAGTCTGAGGCGGGTGGATCACAAGGTCAGGAGTTGGAGACCAGCCTGGCCAATATGGTGAAACCCCGTCTCTACTAAAAAAAAAAAAAAAAAAAAAAAAAAAAAAATTAGCCGGGCATGATGGCACGCACCCGTAGTCCTAGCTACTCAGGAGGCTGAGGCAGGAGAATCTCTGGAACCCAGGAGGCTGAGATTGCAGTGAGCTGAGATCATGCCACTTCACTCTAGCCTGGGTGACACAGTGAGGCTCCATCTCCAAAAAAAAAAAAAAAATGCTTTATATTTTTTAAAATAAAAAGTATTCACAATAAATAAGTAATTTTTAAAAATTCACTGGAGTTATTTGGTTGGAATATTAGAAATTTGAAACTGTCAATAGTAATTAAAATTAACCTTGGGCTTTTCAATATTGAAAAGTATAAAACTAACCAGATTATTTGAAAGTAATTACATCGAATTTGTGTTGTCCTTCATTTGTGAATAAAAAAGACAAAACATTCATTCAAAGGTCTTAGAGAAAGAAAACTCCTAGATTTTAAATAAGCTTACTAAATATGTATATGCAGTCTTATAAAAATTGGACATACTTGAATCTGTTCAGTTATTTTAAAATTGCATAGTGTACTATGTTTAACAATATCACAGCTGATCCCCCACTATTGTGAAACAACACAGGACCCAGACACCATAAAATGTTCTTGCTGTTCAACTTTTAGCCTATGTGACTCAAGGTGCTAAGCAAATAACTCTCTCAGAGTGGATAAATCCGAGTGACAGGGAGAGAATAACAAGAGCAAGTAAGAAAGAATCCTAGAGAGGCTGGGCGGCGCCGTGCGTGGCTCACGCCTGTAATCCCAGCACTTTGAGGCCAAGGTGGGTGGATCTCTTGAGACCAGGAGTTGGAGACCAGCGTCTCTTCTAAAAATACAAAAATTAGCCAGGTGTCATGGCACACAACCTGCATAATCCCAGCTACTTACGAGGCTGAAGCACAAGAATCGCTTGAACCAGAGTGGCAGAGGTTGCAGTGAGCTGAGATTGCACCACTGCACTCCAGCCAGGGCAACAGAGCGAGACTCTGTCCAAAGAAAGAGAAAGAGAGAGAAGGAATCATCCTAGAAAAATGGCTAGGAGAGGTTCCGTGTCTTGGACCTAGGCATGGGAAGAAGGGAAAGAAAGAAAAGAAGAAACAAAAGTAAAGGGAAAGAAAGAAGGAAAGGAAGGAAGGAAGGAAGGAAGGGAGGAAGGAAGGAAGGAAGGAAGGAAGGAAGGAAGGAAGGAAGGAAGGAAGGAAGGAAGGGGCAGCAAGGAAAGGGAGGGAGGGAGGAAGGAAAGAAGGAAAGAAAGAAGGAAGGAAGGGAGGGAGGGAGGGAGGGAGAGAGGTAAGGGGAAAGAAAGGAAAAGAACAAAAGGAAAGAAAGAAAAGAAGATAAAGAAATCATCCTAGAAAAACTGTCTAGGAGAGCTTCTGAGAAAGGAAAGGAAAGAGGAAGGGGAAGGGGAAGGGGAAGGGGAAGGGAGAAATCATCCTAGAAAAATGGCTGGGAGAGGTTCCATGACTTCGACCTAGAGATGGGAGGTAGGGGAGACATCATATATACACACACACACTACATATATATGTATATGTACTACAAATATATACACCATATGTATATGTATACCATATATAAATATAAATATATAAACATATATTTGATATAATAAATATATTATCTAAATTTATATATATAATATATAAATATGTTATATTAGAAATAGAAATATATTTTTATATATTATGTATATATTATATATATTATATATTTAAATTATATATTTTATATATTATATGTATATATTATATATAAAATATATATTTAAATGTATTTATAGCAGAGGGCCATTCAAAAATGTCATTTATTATGGGGATTTACATGCCAACGGTACAATTAACTTCTGTAAAGCACATTGCTGTTTAGAAAACACATAAGCAATGTCATGTAGAGATTGAGAGCACGGTCCTTGAACTGCATTTGAATCCCACCTCCGCTTACCCACTGAGCCCTTTCCTACCTCATGGAATTGTTATGAGGATCGGATGAGACAACTATAAAGCTCCTAGCATGGTGATTCTGATTATTTTATATTATTTGATCTTTTGAGTCCAGGAGTTTTGGCATAAGCCATAATTTCCAATTCTTCAAATAGCAGGTAGTATTAGAACTTTTCAAACCACTTTTTGTATGGAATAATATTCTGAAATGGGAATTGGAGACAAAATGGAATCACTGATTTATCCAAATGTTTAAAAAGCACTTGTTTTCCATGAATATGAGATACATACTCATCTCATCTCACCTGTTTTGCAGGCGCTCGAGGACTGTGCCCAGGAGCAGGTGCGGCTCAGAGCCCAGGTGCGCCTGCTTGAGACCCGGGTCAAACAGCAACAGGTCAAGATCAAGCAGCTTTTGCAGGAGAATGAAGTCCAGTTTCTTGATAAAGGAGAGGAGAATAGTGTCATTGATCTTGGAAGCAAGAGGCAGTATGCAGGTCAGAATGGACTTTTCTTAAGTGTTTCAACAACTTACATTACACACCCATATGCAATGATGGTGCTAGTTATTTGTTTGCTTCAGGTTTTGCTAAAAAGCTTTTCCTATTTCAGTAACAAGCAATATGAAGCATTATATCATTTTTAAATGTCTTCTTTCACACACTACTTTTTTCTGTCTCTGCAGGGGCATTTAATGTGAAAGCTAAATATCTGAGAATTTACGTTATTTAATAAGAAATCAGGACAATAGATTGAATACTGATGTACATGGCCAGGCACGGTGGCTCACACCTGTAATCCCAGCACTTTGGGAGGCCTAGGTTGGCGGATTACAAGGTCAGCGAATCCAGACCAGCCTGGCCAATACGGTGAAACCCTGTCTCTACTAAAAATACAAAAATTAGCTGGGCGTGGTGGTGGGTGCCAGTAGTCCCAGCTACTTGGGAGGCTGAGGCAGGAGAATCACTTGAACCTTGGAGGTAGAGTTTGCAGTGAGCTGAGATCGTGCCACTGCACTACAGCCTGGGTGACACAGTGAGACTCCGTCTCAAAAAAAAAAAAAAAAAAAAATCTAGTGTACACATGGCAGATTACAACTGGGAATTTTTGCATTTGAGCTTTGTGTTTGTGTATCTTTCCTTGTTACATGTATGCAGTTTTTCCTTCTGAAATCCTAATATGCATATTAGGGTGGCAAATAAGGTAAAAAATAAAGGAGCAGAGAAAGGAAAAAGAACCAGAATTACTAAGGAAAATGAAACAGTAGTTTTTTTATAGGTATATTTATTGGTTTCATAATGTTCCTTTTGATGAGGTCAGTATTTCTCCCGAGAAACTGAATGATTTTAAACTGGCAACACATTACACACATTGCTGCCCATATCATTATTGTCTATGGAAAACTGTTCATTTGAATTCCTCCAGAAGTAAAAGGCATCTTTTAAAGTAAACAAACAATGATTGCCAGAAACAAAAACAATGCTAGCTAGAGCACTTTGTCCATATGTCTACTCAAGCACTACCATGCTACATTGTAATTTCCGGTTATGAGTCTACTGTGGTCAATTAACTGGGCACTTTGTAAGGTCTAAGACGATGTTTAATGTACTTTTATCTCCGTGTTGACTATTAGAGTGCCTAGAACATAGTAGATCCTCATATTCATGAATGAAAGGAAGATAATATATAGGGAGAGGAATAGAAAGATAAGCAAATATAAATTGGGAAATCTATTTGACCGGAATTGAAAGACTGTAGAGGTCAAAGAGATGCCAGTCTTATGGGAAATAGAAACATCTTTATTTTCTGCTTCTAAACATACAATTGTCGGATATAGGAGTTGTGAGAAACTTAGAGCCTATGCTTCAATAAAATACTTCAGGGCACCTGGCTAGCTCAGGCTGCAGTGCATGAGGCTCTTAAAATGTTCCCTTTTTCGCTGGGCGCGGTGGCTCACGCCTGTAATCCCAGCACTTTGGGAGGCCGAGGCGGGCGGATCACGAGGTCAGGAGATCGAGACTATCTTGGCTAACACGGTGAAACCCCGTCTCTACTGAAAATACCAAAAAATTAGCCGGGCGCGGTGGCGGCGCCTGTAGTCCCAGCTACTCGGGAGGCTGAGGCAGGAGAATGGCACGAACCGGGAGGCGGAGCTTGCAGTGAGCCGAGATCGCACCACTGCACTCCAGCCTGGGCGACAAAGCGAGACTGTCTCAAAAAAAAAAAAAAAAAAAAAAAAACACTCCCTTTTTCTCTACCAACATCCTTATCTCCCTCTGCTCAGACTCTTCGCCTTGGGCTCCTGCTTCTCTGTTGACCAGCATCTTGATCCAACCGTCCTACCTCTGGCCCTTAGAGATCAGAAAGAGGCCAGAGTCACTGGTCTGCAGTAATGGGGATGGCTATAGCATGAACATGGCCTGTGCCTCTGGAGCCAAGAGGAACCAGGGATAGTTCGGGTAAAAATGGGCTTGGGAAGCAAACGGACTATCGTTCAACGGATGAGCATACAAATTAAGGGATCCCAAAAGTGCCTACAAAGCTGGTCTCAAGGGCGAGGAACTGGTAGAAGAAAGCAGAGCACCATTATTCCAAATGTCAAACCAAGCCCGAGACTCAGGGTGTCTATTCGAATACATTCCGAGCAGGTTATTGACACGGACTCAAGGGCCAATCACGGCAGGAGACAGCTAATCAGGAGGCAGCTCATCAGATATTTCTTCCCAGGCCTCTACAACCAGTCACGGGAAGACTGAGGCTTAAGTGCTGTGTTAGTCCGTTCTCATACTGCTATAACGAAATACCTGAGGCTGGGTCATTTATAAAGACAAGAGGTTTGATTGACTCCTGGTTCTGCAGGCTGTAAAAGAAGCATAGCAGCGTCTGCTTCTGGAGAGGCCTCAGGGAACTTACAAACACGGCAGAAGGCAAAGCAGAAGCAGGTACATCTTATGTGGTAGGAGCAGAAGAAAGAGAGAGAGGGAGGAGGTGCCACACTTTTTCAAACAACCAGATCTCACGAGAACTCACTCACTGTACAGTACCAAGGGGGATGGTGCTGAACTATTCCTGAGAACTCCACCCCCATGAGCCAATCGCCTCCCACCAGGCCTTCCCTTCAACACTGGGAATTACAACTCCACATGAGATTTGGTGGGGACACACATCCAAATCATATCAAGAGCTGAAAATCCAGTCCTTGTGTTGACACTGCTGGGGAGCAGATTTGGGAAGCAAGGGGTCACCAAGGAATAAGGCAAGAAATCAGGTACTTGGAAATTACAATGCCAAGGTCAGAAGCATTAACTGTACAAGCAGGAGTTAGAAGAGTCCTACAGAGATGGTTCAGATAAAGCATTATAATTATTATAAATATAAGACTGTTATAATAAGACAGATGATAGGAATTCTAGATGACTGTTTTTTGATATAAAAGCCAAAAAAATCAGAATTTCAGTAGATTAACAATATTCTTCATATATTAAGCATGAAGGAGAAAAAGGGTGACTAAAATATGAAATATAAATATAGTTCAGTTGTTCCTTATTTTTAACATATAGGCAAATGCTACTAGAGAGCCTACTAACAACAGATAATAAACAAAATATATAACATAAAAATTGCAATAAAATATAATGTAATACATATTATATTATATAAAATATATAAGAACTTGCTCACATCAAAGTTTATGTTTTTGGTGTCCTTAAATTTAAAACAATTAAATATTCATATATATAATCTGTAGAAATATAAATTTTTTGTTCTGAGTTACAAGTTGCTTTATTATTACTAAATTAGTTATTTTCTGAATTCCAATTTATCTGATGGTTGAAAACACCCAATTACACACAACCCAGCAATTTGTGCAAACAATGCCCACACCACATGGTTTTATACAGCATATCATTAAACTGTATCTTTTTTTTTTTTTTGAAACAGAGTCTCCCTCTGTCACCCAGGCTGGAATGCAGTGGCCGAATCTCAGCTCACTGCAAGCTCCGCCTCCCAGGTTCATGCCATTCTCCTGCCTCAGCCTCCCGAGTAGCTGGGACTACAGGCACCCACCACCACGCCCAGCTAATTTTTTTGTATTTTTTAGTAGAGACGGGGTTTTACCGTGTTAGCCAGGATGGTCTTGATCTCTTGACCTCGTGATCCGCCCACCTCGGCCTCCCAAAGTGCTGGGATTGTTATGCCCAGACCGTTTATTCCCCGAAGAAGACCACCAGAGTCCAGAGTCAAAGCTAAGCAGCAAGGATCTTTATTACAGGTTCGAACCTGGAACTCTCACTCGCTCGCAAAACGAGACGGGCAGGAGAGCTCCCCCACTGAGCTCCGAGCAGTGTTATATAGTCTAAGAAAAGTGGGCATAGAGTTATTATACAAATCAGATATATGATTGGCTAGTGTTTGAACAAGGCGATTTGGCTAACTATGATTGGTTCCCGCCATTTCTGATATTTTGGTTCAACCTTTGAGGCGGGAGAGCAGGTTTATGGCAGCAAGAGTTTATCTTACTTAAACACGTCTTGTGACCTTGCCTCAGAACTTACAAAATCTCTGGTATGTGCAAAACAAAATCTCTGGTACGTGCAGAAAAACAGGTACTCACAGAACTTACGAAATCTCTGGTATGTGCAAAGATTAGAGAGCAGAACAAAGGGTGTAGCGGGGGGGCGGGTATACATCTATCTTTGTGTCCTTTCATTTCCCCCTCTCATAAGTAACTGGATGTCCAATCTTGGATTTCCAGAGTCTTATAATGTAGCCTCACTTTCTGGGTGCAGGAGAGGCTGGTGATGGCTACAGAGGACCATTAGTTGGATGGTATCAAACCTTTCTCTGACAAATTGTAAAATCTTATTTACTACACAGGGGCCTATAGTGAATAGAAGCAGTAAAGACATTAGTGGGCCTAAAAGGGGTGCCAGAAGGGAAAACATTGAAGAGCTCCACCATTTGTTAGCGGCTGTAGTGAATTGTTGCTTTTTCATCTCTAAGCTTAGTTTGCGTAGGCGTTGGACTCTTTCCTCAACTAACCCTGACTCATTTATATAGAAACAGCATTCTTCTTTGAGGAACATACAGGTACCTCCTTTCTCAGCCGTGAGTAAGTCTAAGGCTCTGCGGTTTTGAAGGGTGACCTTTGCTAGGGAGGTGAGCTGCCGCTGAAGGGAGGCTAGGGAATAGGCGGAGTCTTCCATAGCAACAGAGAATTGTTGTAACAGCTTGTCGTTTTCTATCATGGAGTGTTGTAGGGCCCCTCCTGCTAACCCCGCTGCGACGACAGAGGTGGTTAAGGATATTCCGGCAATTAGTGGTAGAAAAACTGCTCGTCTATGTCGCGCAGTTTGAGTTGGGGCGGTCCCTGCCCAGCCTATGAACTCTGCCGGGGTTAGCAGTGTCAGTCGGGGAACTAGGGTAACAGGGATACACATCTGTCCGTCAGAGATGCTTTTGGACAGAGTCTTTAACAGAGTCATATTACACCAGA